TGATTCGCGGTAGGGCTGTTACTTTCCGTCTTGCGCCCAGGTTGGCGGCTATGGTGGTTATGAAAAGCTTTCTTGGTATGAGTATTCCCGAGCCCCTGTTGCTGGCAGATACGGTTATGGGTGAGATGTCGTCGGTAGGGTCTGAATTCGTCTGTTGAGTAGAGGGACAAGAAGCTTGTCAGAGACCAGTGCTCTGTCAGCAAGATATGTGAGAAGACTTAGTTAGATATATCATCCGCAAGAGTACTTTGGAATGAAATTTGACCGTTGTTTTGACACCGCTTTCTGTCCAAATCATTCATAATATAAAATCACATCAGTAAATTTATCACAGTATTTCCAGGCTTAGACATGAACATTGTGGGCCTGTCTTTATTAGCCTGTTTAGGAACAATGCAAATATGAATGTACACGTAGTTATCCGTTGTTGATGATGTGGTGTTGTTAAAGACAATCAAGCACATCATAAGTTGTGTTGTAATTACATGATGGGTTAGGTGAGTAGTACATAAGGTAGATATTCACCGCCTGCCAGCTGGGTAACATAACATGAGCACGGACCACCTTCATCAGGCAGAAACGATGATTACTAGCGCCAAGATTTCACTATCTGCTCCGCACCTAAAATTCACTGGTGACCAAAATTCAACCACCCGCCTACGAAATCGCCAATCAAGGGACTCGGTCCTGCATTATCCGCCCACTTCAAGTTCGGCCAAACCCACCCGATAGTCTCTAAAGTTCTGCTGGCCCGAACTTTTTTCAATCCTTTTGCCGCCTTGCCTTGTCCTGATTTGCCTTATCATTTGTGAGCTGACCGTTCACAAGTTGCGACAATCGATTACCAAAGCAGATTTCGCTCCCTTTCCCCCTTCACATATCAAGTGCATTTGTCGCTATCAAGTCAGCCATCTGATCAAGCGTCGCAAGCTGCGTCGATACAAAATGGAGGACTCGTCGCTCAAGGTTCGTCATTCATGCCTCCTATATCTCACCCCGCATAGCCTCATCGATGCCTATCCGTGTCGGCGCCAAACCGGTTGACTATATGCCATGGCTATGGCGAAGCTATGCGGTGTGGTGGTATTGGTCATGCATGTAGAGAACCCATGTTGACCAATGATCCGAATAACAGGAGCGTCTCCTCAACTCTCAGAAGTCATTTGATGGCTTGCTGTCTTTGATTCCCGCCAAGATGTATTATGGTGAAGAGACATCCGTAAGTACTAACATGCTCCCGCCGCCCCGGTACAAAGCTGTTTTCTATTGTGCCATCTCGGAAGTATAAAATACTTACCACATAGTTATATCACAGGACCAGTGGCAACGGAAAAAACAGACCAAAGCACAAGCTGCCGAAGCAAGACGGAATAAGCTCGATCCCGACAGTGCACTGAACCGGAGTGCTAAAGAGGTCATGGAAGAGCAAGCACGGAAGAAGCGGAAACGGGACCAAGAGGGCGACGACGAAGACTGGTCCGAAGTTGAGGGCATTGCGCCTGAGATGCCTGGTCAGGGCTTGAAGAAGAAGACGGCCAAGGAGTCCAAGAAAAAGCAAAAGCAGACCGCCGAGGAAGCCGAAGTAGATGAGAAGGAGAGACGGAAAGAGGAGAAGAAAGCAGCACGGAAAGAACGCAAGGCAGAACGGAAGCTTCTACGAGAGGAAGAGGCCGAGTTCAACCGGAGAACTGTCAAGGGTGTCAACAAGATAAAACTTGGCGAGCGAGAGGTGAGACCAGAATCACTATCAAACGGCGATGCGATACTTAGCGAGTCAGGTGGGGAAGACGAAAGCAGTGCGGACGAGGAAAGCATAGACGGTGGAGACGAGAAAGCTGCAAAGCAACCCGAAGAGGCCGATGCTCACGAATCCGGATCCCCAACATCTGCAGCTGAAACCCCACAGTCTCCTGTTTTCGACACAAACGGTACACCAGCGGACTCTGCTGGCCAAGCACCAAGTATAACGACGTCGGTGTCCTCCTCGGCCGACCCTACCTCAGAAAAACCAAAACACATAAAAATACCTGCCGACAGTGCGGCTCTACGTGCCCGCCTAGCTGCCAAGATCCAAGCTCTCCGAGATGCCCGAAAGGCTGACAGGGATGGCAAACCGGTCCGAACCCGGGAAGAGTTATTAGAACAACGTCGCCAAAAAGCAGCAGAGCGCAAGGCGCATAAGAAGGAGTTGAGACAAAAGGCGAAGATGGAAGAGGAACGAAAACGAGAGGAAGCGCTTGCGTCAGCTCGCGAGTCCCCCATGGGCATGCTTAGCCCTAATGTCAATCTCGACGAAACAAATAACTTTGCATTCGGCCACGTTGCCTTTAGTGACGGCACCCACCTATCTCACGACCTAAGCCATGTGCTCAATAGAAACGCGAAGAAGGGACCGTCGGATCCCAAAACAGCGCTCCTAAAGCTTGAGAACCAGAAGAAACGGCTGGAATCGATGGATGAGGAGAAGCGCAAGGACGTGGAAGAGAAGGAGGCATGGCTGACGGCTAGACGGCGTGCCGAGGGAGAAAAGATCAAGGATGACGAAAAGTTACTAAAAAAGGCGGTCAAGCGCAAGGAAACTCTTAAGAAGAAGAGTACAAAAGCATGGGAAATCCGAAAGGAAGGAGTAGAGAAAGGCATCAAGGACCGGCAAAAGAAGAGAGAGGAGAACATCCGGAAGAGACGAGACGAGAAGCTCCTGGGTAAAGCGGGCAAGAAGAAGGGGGCCAAGAAGACTAAAGGTCGGGCTGGCTTTGAAGGTTCGTCTTTTGGCAAGAAGCGATGAGGAGCACTGTCACGATGAAGCACGTTTTATACCACTGGCGCATTTCTCGATTGTAGCAAATCCAGGCCTATGTATATATCCCACTGGTCAAGCCATGCGGTCTCGGACTCGGACTCGGACTCGGACCCGGTCCTATTATGATATTCTGTACGAAACCTTGGGGAGTGTTTTACTATGCATTCCTGGTCTGTGCGAAATTTGCACTCTAGGACTGTGAAAGCTATGAATAAAGTGTTCTACGATGAAATGTGCTTGCTGTGTCATTCAAGTGGCCAACTAGGCAGCTAGGGTACCAATCTGTAATAGCTGCCAAGCTATCACAGGTGGTATCACGCAATACTTAGATCCAAGCATACACTTTCTCTTGGAGAAGTCGGGGAACTGCACATCCCTTTAATACACAAACAAAAAACTTATCTTGTGTCAATAAAAAGCGAAAGCCTAGTAGTGCAACATGCAACTCCTCTCTTTCACCACCACCTGCCTTGATGGGAAATCGAGGGGTGTCAATACCGTCCTATCATAATTCATTATGAGATGATGCTATTTGGCATAATGTGTACGGGATTTGGGGGTTTTGTTGAATGACATATTCACGATTACTGTTGGTGTAAAAGCAGGTATAAAACCCAACCCGATTTGCTCGTACCACTATGAAGATATTGACCATGCTCTTCACAGTATCTCCTGTTTCTGTTGATTTGGCAGACAAATTGCGTTTATATGAGAAGCTAAATTGTCAAGAGAGACTATAAAAGAAGAACCCTCTAAATAACTCTTGCCTTCAAGACAAACCCTGCCTGCACATCTATATATCTTATCTATTCCCATCCAAAATGCGCATCCCAGGATCCTTCCTCCCATTTCTCCTCCTCCCCCTCCTCCCCTCACCCCTCTCCTTAGTAGCAGCAGCAGCAGCAGCAGCAGCAGCAGCAGCAGCAAAAACACCCACCGTCGGACCGGAAAAGGGATCCCTCGTCGTCGTAGGAGGCGGGACCCTCTCGGACAAAATCTACCAAACCGTCATCGACCGCGCCGGCGGCGGCCCCATAATCGTCATCCCGACAGCCGACGGCGCACCCACATACGACCAAGACGCGGCGGGCGCCGCATCCTTCCGTCGCCTGGGCGCCGTCTCCGTCACCGTCCTCCACACGTACGACCGCGCGGAAGCGGACACGGAGGAATTCGTGGCACCATTGCGAAACGCGTCGGCCGTCTGGTTCGGCGGGGGGAGACAATGGCGTCTCGTCGACGCATACGCGGGGACGTTGACGGAGGCCGCGTTCCGCGATGTTTTAGATCGCGGGGGAGTCGTGGGGGGCAGTTCGGCGGGGGCGAGTATTCAGGGGTCGTTCCTAGCACGGGGAGATACGCGGACGAACCTGGTGGTTGTGGGGGACCATACGGTTGGGTTTGGATATCTGCGGGATGTGGCGATTGATCAGCATGTTTTGGTGCGGGGACGGATCTATGACATGTTTGAGATTTTAAAGGTTAGGCCGGAATTGTTGGGGTTCGGATGTGATGAGAATACGGCGTTTGTGGTGGATGGGGACGAGGCCGAGGTTATCGGGAATAGTTATTGCGTTATTTATGATGGGAAGTTTTGGGCGAGAGAAGGGACGGAGGTTAAGAATCCGCCAGAGGAGAATGTTTTTTATTTGTTGAGGGAGGGGGATAGGTATGATCTTGCGAAGAGGGAGGTTATCGAGGCGAGTGGGCTTGATGGGCTTGATGGGGAGTTGTAGGATGTGGACTAGGAAGATCAAGTACATCGAAGTCTGATAGACGATGTTCTTGTCGACTAGCTAGCCTGAGGAGTTTTTACTTATTGACACTCTGTGATATCTTGTCTTGACATATCTAGAGGTGCATCTACAAATATCTAACCTACACGATACAGTCAACAATCTTGGCTTTTTGAAGTCAAGGATAAGTAAGCTCTGCACTTGCCGTAGCATTGGTAGGTACTTACCACTTGCACAGGTTGATACCGCGGCCCATAAGAAACGGCATTTCTAAAAAACGTATCCTAATTACATTTAAGTACTCAGTTAACTTTATTCTTGCTGTGAGGGTGACTGACTGGCTGGTTTGAGGATATCTACATTAACCTCCTATTTCACCATTTCTTCCTATAAATAGACCACAAGATTTAGCTATGAATGCCCTGTTACGGCGACGGCCAATAACCCACTACAAGTGGAACTTTGGGCGAATGGTCTAGGGGTATGATATTCGCTTTGCATGGCTAGCTCTTCCTTGCGGTGCCGAAAGTATGTAATTGCGAAGGGTCCGGGGTTCAATTCCCCGTTCGTCCATAAAGTTTTGTTTATCTTAAACAAGTTTTTTATTTTTGCTTCCTGGAAACTATTTCCACAAGCAGTTGCATAGCATTCATTGTCTTAGTCCCCCTTGGCTTGGATTAGATAGGTAGCTCATGTAATATCAGGCCCTTGATTGTTTTGCGCATGAGCAGTTGGCTGGCTATCTGGAATGTTGGTGGAGCGTGGTGGTTATTGTGGTGTGTTGGGGTAAGTAAGGTACCTAAGGTAGCCTGTAAATGTAATAATACAAGGCCAAGGCATCGTCACGGTATAGATGAGCTGGATTGTTAAATAAGCCCCATTTTCATGTAAAACGGATATATCTACGCTGTTTTGTTACGCGTTGACGTCGAGTAAAAGATGAGATGGATGGATGGTCTTGTTGGGAAGTTGATTAATAAGTCAAGTTGATTTGGCCGCTTCCCCCAAAGTAGAAAACAATTTCATGCAAGTCAGACTGTCAACCCCCTGTTCAGCGCTCAGCTTTCTGAATGGCCAAAGAGACTACTCGTACAAGAGCCCAGATATCCACATACATTTATTACTTGTAGAAAGTCGGACAATGATGGACTTTCTTGAATTTTTGCTTCCGCTCAAGTTTTCGAATACGCCTGTAAACCGCGGGAAAAAGGCTTGGAGTGATAGATTTCCGGGGTTGGGTAGATAATAAGACCAAGAACAGAAAACAATCTCATCGTATGTTGGCTTGTTTAATATGCATGTCGTCGGTAGGTTCTCCATGATCGATCCCCTGTCCCTCTCTTCTATGTAAAGAACAAAATGCCGGTCTTTTTTTCTTCTTTTCTTTATATCAGTTGCTGATATGTAGACAGCAGAATGTCCACCCTTTATCGTCACCGCTCTCGGAGACGACTCATCTCTTGACGATGGCAACACTAGAAAACTTAGTCAGTGGTTTTCCTTGCTCCAGTATTATCTATCTACCCCTTTTAGCCTAACCTAGAGGAATTCCACAGTCCGACGACATGTCATGTTGGGGAGGAATCGTGGAAAGACACATCCTAATCGACAAAGACCTACCAAGAAGAACAAGTCGGCTAAAAAGCCCCTAGAGAAGACTTCTTCCCTGACTGAGACTGGGGTAGAGACGGAGACTGGCGGCCTGGCCCTTCCCCGTCAAGTAGGGAGTGATCTGTTGTCTATGGCATGGGCGGATTCCGTCGATGTTTCGACCATGGCCGTGATTATGGATTGTGAGTTTTGACTAATAACTTCAAAAGCGCCATCGTATAAATCCAGTTCCCGGCTTTTTTTTTAACATGCAAAAAAATCCCAGTCACGAAATACACCAAGAAAGCCATCCATCCACTAGACACGTACATAGATTTCCCAGCAAAAGACATCCGATGGCTAGAACCTTTGCTCTCGGACGCCGCATGGGTACACATGATGGCATTTACATCCTATACCATCATGGACGGTCTACGGGGCACAACAACAACAACAACAATCACAACAGGACAGGACTTACATCTTGGGAAATCGATACGTTTATTACGCGAGCGTATTAATAACAATAACAAGAATAACGACGACATGGCCATGACTACAAACTCCACGGTACAAGTCGTCGTATCGCTTGCCATGCACGCCATCATGCACGGGGAATTTCACGAGGCGAAATGTCACTTGCTTGGTCTGAGACAGATTTTGTTGTTGAGGGGTGGGTTTGGGGCTTTTGCGCCTTGGCCGAAGCTTATTATTGAGATTCTGAGGTGCGTTTTTTTTTCCCTCCTCTCTCTCTTATTCTTTTCTCTCTCTCTCTCTTATTCTTTTCTCTCTCTCTCTCTTATTCTTTTCTCTCTCTCTCTCTCTTATTCTTTTCTCTCTCTCTCTTATTCTTTTCTCTCTCTCTCTTATTCTTTTCTCTCTCTCTCTTATTCTTTCCTCTCTCTCTCTTATTCTTTCATCAAAGGGGAGGGGACGGAGGTGTTACTTGGGGAAACTAACATGAGACTTGCAGGGCTGATATCAACTTATCCCTACACACGAATAACCCACCTGTCCTCTCGCAGGAATGGTTTTCTTCCCGTGGTCGTTTACCGGTACCACATACTGACGTCTGGTCTGCCCTCGTAGTCTTTTGCGAGAAAATCAATGTCGCGGCGAGAGATGATGATAAAAAAATGTCGAGGGATTTATTAGTTGATATCATGGCTTCGTCCATGTATTCCCTGCTTCTTCAATCACGCGAGAACAATAACGAGCTCGTCAGATTGTCTCTGTTGGTTTTTGGTTCGGGTGTCTTTTTACAGTGGCAGTTGGGCTTCCCTACGAAAAGGCCGGCGCGTGTTGGACTAGTTGCTGCTCTTAAGAAATGTCTTGAAGAAGAGGAGGAGGAGGAGGAGGAAGAGGAGGGGGGAGAAGGGTCGTATTTCGTCATGTGGGTTCTTTTCATGGGTTTGATGGCTTTTTCGTCGGTATGTGATGAGGATATTGTGTGGTTTCGTTATAGACTGAGGAGATGTGTGGATTTGTGTGGGTTGTCAACTTGGGACGAGGTGCGTGGTGTGTTGACGGGGTTTCTGTGGATTGATATTGTTCATGATGGACTTGGACGTGGTGTTTTCGAAAGTGTGTTTGGTGATATCACGGAAGGAGTTCAGCTTATCGTAGGTTAGATAAGAGAGATGGTCATCTCACGCTTGTAGGATAATGGAAAGAAATCTCTTGTGTTTCGCGGCCGAGCTGGGTGACGAAAGGGCTGGTAGTCGTAGGAGTTGCTGATAGTACATCGCTTAGCAATCGAGCTACATTCATCTCCGTCCGGCTTATGTATCTGTTGATGAAGGATGATGTTCATGAAGATCGACACAGGGCTGTGTATCTTACATTTGTGCGGGCGAAAGGGGGGACTTGATCACGAAGGGGGTTCTTCGAGTTTTGGATACCTATATGCAGAAGAGTGGAGTTTGGAAGTCTACCACACGTCAGAAGTTTCGGACATTTTTTTCCCATGTTCCAAGAAAGTACCGCATGTAGCTATATTAACGCTTGGTAGACAGGCGTATTCAGGATGCCGTATTGCGGCGGCCGCGTCTTCCCTTTCCCCGCTGGTCCAGCCAGCCAGCTCAGAGAGGAGATCGGCGGATATCTTTAGGAATCTCCGGGCCTCTGAGAGAAGAGGGTCGTCATCAAACCCCAGCTTTTGATGAAAGCAAGACTTAATGGCAATTTTGGACAACACTCGTGGACAAGCCATCCCATGTTCGGTTTCGGTTTCGGAAGCGCTCCGGAGTAACAAGGCAATGGACCCCTTTAGCTGTACATCGTACAATAAATCTCTACTCTTAAGAGTCCAAGACCCACGCGGCCGATGCCGTTTCCGCCCCACTAGGATAGATCTTTTGACGGGTAGAATCGCTGGAAATATAGCTGCCTGGCCCATGTTTTCTTCTTAACCTGTTGCCTAGACCCACCATCGCGAAATTTGATGGCGGTGTTTCAACAAACCGAGATGGAAATAGAATCATGGAAAAGAAACATAATGAGTGAGGTGAGAGAGATTAGAAAGCGTAGAAAAGATGTATTTATATATAAGATGCTCAAACTTCATTAATCCGATAATAATATAGAGTCACCAAGGACGACGACAACAACAACAGCACAACAACTTTGACACTTGAACAAAAACAACCGCCCGATTTATCATAACTTCTTCAACAAACACACAAATCAAAATGCAACTTTCAACTATACTCTACAGCCTAGCAGCGACCTCGCTGACCATGGCCCAACGAAGCCCTGACCCAGGCGACCATTTCGACCTCAAGACCGAAGGACCATTCGCCCTGCGCGTAAGGGGTCACGATAAGAACAACACCATTGACGGTAGGTACCATTTCCACCCTTTTAACTAGAGCTACAAGTTAGAACCCAAAATAATAAAACTAAAACATTAAAAAGGCTATCTCCGAACCGTATCCTCCGGCATGCACACCCTCCCCGAATACGCCGCCGGCATATCCGACGCTCCCATAGCCGACAACTCCTCCTATCACTTCTACTTCAACTACACGGAAGAGATGAAGACGTCCTCGGGGATCCAACTAGGTTTCCTAGCGACCGATCTCGACGCCGACGCAGCCGATTCCCCGCTCGGACTCAAGGGGCAGGCCCTAACGTTGCGTCACGAATTACGGTCGAATGTGTCCCCTGCCATTCTCGGATCCGACACCGTCGTCTTTACCGGATTCGATGACGACGACCAGAGTTTTTTGATCGACGGGCTTGATGATGGGACTTATGTCGCTGGGGAGAAGAAGCCCGAGTCGGGCGATTATTACTTTTGTATGTTTTCTTTTCTCTTTGCCCCCTTTTCCCTTTTCCCCCTCTTCTCCTTTCCATGGCGCATCCGCATTGATAGGTCCAAACTTACGCGTCAACCTTGACTAGACCGCTGGGCTGTTTGCTGGCAACTCGTTGATTACATCTACACGCCTTCTCTGTCTTGGGTAGCCTGGGGCGAGGCCCGTAATCCTACTTGCGAACTCGTCGATCTCATCAAGGTGCCTCTGGAGAAGTAAAGGGGTTAATACCGGAGTTTACATTGGACGTCCTATATGCTAGTGTAAATCGGAATACTGCATTATAAAAGGGAACGCGATCAACTACTCCTATAGAGAGTAGATGTAAAAGGGAGATTTAGCAGGATGAATATTGTACAGATACAAATGAAAAAGAAATACAGAAAAAAAAGCATGAAAACATTAAAGATGGCCTGCAAAGTGATAATAAAGTGCACAAACAAACTAAAAAAGTTGTTGCAGGGGAGCCAACAATTCATTGCATCAGCCGTGAATCGAACACGGGGCCCATCGATGGCAACGATGGATTTTACCACTAAACCACTGATGCTGATTTGTCTATACTGTGTTTCGGGCGTATTGAGGGACATGACAGTCTCATGTTTCATTGCATTTAGAAATCATAGAAATATCAGTAATTGTAACGACGTCCCCTTTATACCGGCC